GGGGGGAAGAGAGGATAAAAAACCAACGGTTGTTTCAGGTACTCACCGTACGCTGTTCGTCTCCTTCACGGACACGGAACGAGTGCTCGAACACAGCATATAGAATTCGACCAAGTCCGAATGACGGTTCGATCACATTTGGCACGATTTCCTCCACTAAAACGAAACGAGAGAAAATAACGTGGTATATGAGTGAATCAATATATGTAACCAGTGAATTGTACGATCATCCTTACTATAACAATTGGCAAATCTTAATGCTTTGACCATTGCATCATTTTTCTGTGTTTAGTGCGAGCGAAGTTCCAACAAAAACATGGAATGAATGAGTATTGTATTGGGAGCACTTAACGGGCTAGAAACAATATTTAAAAATATTCGTCGTACATTACGTATTTGTGTTGTTCGTTACGTCAACGTTCCACGGGATTTAAGGACCCTATACTGCAGCATGCTGTGCATCTCTCAGTACGAGCACTAACGATCAAATGTCTCTTTGTGTATTCAAACACCGACAGTCTGCCTTTGTCCTGTTTTCTTAATGGCCAAGTTTCTGCTCCATATAGCAGAACTGGCCTAACTAATGCAGCATATACTCGATCCTTCACAGACAGCCGGATGTCGCGTCGGCGCCACAGATGTCTCAAGTTGGCAAATGCCAACCGAGCCTTCTGTATGCCAGCTGACACTTCATCCGTGAGGCGTCCATTGGGTGAGCTGTAGCTGCCCAGATAACAAAACTTATCCACCTGCTCTTTTACTTCTCCAATTAGAGTGAGGCTCGGTGCTGGACCAATCCAGTCTTATAGTAGCATTTTACACTTTGAAGGTACAAAACGCATACCAGCACGCTAGCACTCAAACTTTTCAGAACAGCCTGTAACTTATCTGGATCTTCACTTAGTAGCACAATGTCGTCTGCATACTCTAGGTCAGACAGCCTGCCATACATTTTTCGTGATGAACAGCAGACAGGTTTTAGTCGCTCAAAACTAAAAGTTAAAAGTAAGATAAATAGGATTAGCCTCAGTGTGAGGTAGTTGGTACAGTAGCAGGACATCAGTATTACATGTGAGGAGTCCGGACTTCAAATCTCCGACGGGTAGTTC